AAAATTTTCTATATAATCAAATGTTCAGTTATGTTTGCAGCTCTTTATACTGTAATTAATACTCCAGGAGTTCAAAAGAGGAAATTGTCAGTGTGGGTGTGAGCAATCAGGGAAGTCTTGATGGAATAGAGTCCATGAAGACCAACAAGGAGGAGGGCAGTCTGTTCCCACTTTAGAGGAGGTGCATCACAAGTCTGTCATTCTGGGGAGGCTGGGAGGGAGACCAGCCCAATCACAGCAGTATATCTCTTTGAGAATCATTAAATATTTCTCTGATGATCTAAGTTTAAGTATGCTTAAGAATTTCTTGCTGAATGAGGAGGGGATATGAATTGTCTTCCCAAAGCAACTTCAGTAGAAAATTATGATCAAAGTAAACCTTTACTTATTTAAGATGACTTAGGTGCCAACACAAAGAAATTGAATGGATTCAGTGATTTCAGAGTTCCTTGAGAACTGTGTTGGCTTGCTTATCACATGTACTAGTTGTGGCTTTTCTAATATTAGTCATGCTGATTTGAGTCAGATGCTGTGTTATTTGATTAAAGCCATGGCATTTAATGGTAAAGATATAGAATGGATCAATATAGCAATTGTCAAGGAATATTTAAGTAGTGGAAGCATAGGTAGAACTTGAAATATCTTTAGTGATTTTTCCGAATACTGAGCCACATGTTCAATTAAGTCATTTGTATAAGCCAATTTAACCAAGAAGTGTATTTTTCCCATTTCTTTATTTGAATATTAGGTGTTTTTGCATGCTTTAGAAAAACATCTGCTACCTTTCTAATTGTACATGTTTTAGCTACTTTACAGTGTCTAACCTGTGCTTGCCAATAAACATCATAACTAATCCATTCTAGCAAATTTCATGCTTTATGTTTATAGATGTTGGGGGCACAGTACAGAGTGTAATTTTAGAAGTCTGGTTCAAACAAAAGGGTAAAAATCTTATTAAAATATATTCTTCCTCATCCATTATTACAGGTCCTATAAAATATACCTTTTAAATGTTTTGAAAAATGTTTTCTTTACAAAGATTAAGTTTCCTTAAGTCAAGTAGGTAATACTTTAGAAGCATTTTGTTAAGAGTACATGATCGGCCGGGTGCAGTGGCTCACACCTGTAATCCTAGTACTCTGGGAGGCCAAGGCGGGTGGATCGTTTGAGCTCAGGAGTTCCAGACCAGCCTGAGCAAGAGCAAGACCCCGTCTCTACTAAAAAAATAGAAAGGAATTAGCTGGACAACT